GTGAATTTATTGACGCCGAACGAAGTATATGGACTTATGGTGGTTAAAAATACTAATATCCATAAAAAAGGTTTTTTTTGATAAATCAATTTTCCATAAATATTGTTATCACTGATGATACCTCGGGGCAAGACCCAGACAATAAAATGGCAGCTTTCTTTTCATACAGAATCATCGTCCACAAGTTTGATCTGATGCGTTCGGAGGGTGAAAAAAACGATTTCTTGACAATATTTCTGGAACTGTTGGTACACCCTGGTGTCCATCCCCCAAAACATTCGGTCGGGTTGTTCAGTTCGTCCCAACCATCGCTGTGGTCCTCAAACAAATTTTCATCCAAGTCCAAATTATTTGCAATTCCTTCAAATTCTGCATCCGTGAGTGCCACGAATGATATTATATTTCAGATGTAGCTATAGTTTGAGTCCCCTGGTATCAAAAATGATACTGAACGAGTTAGGAATGTAAAATAATAAATAGCTAACTAATTATAACCTACAATGTATGCACAAAATTTTTTCAACTATTTATCGAACTATTTGGGCGAAAAAATCATGGAAAATATCTGCTACTTATATTTATTTTGTCAAATTTCACTATTGTCGGCATGGCGTCAGAGCAGATGATCACAAAAAATCAAACAACCCGCTCGAGTCACGTGAACTGCGATCGTAAGAATTTTTGCGCATTGGTTGATCTATATCAGATGCGATACCAGCGGGCAGTGAAATGATATCACGCGCTAGACAATGAGAGGAAAATTTCAACCGTGGAATCATATATAGGTGTTTTCGGAAACCTACTCGGGTTGACTCGATCACTAACCTGCACGTTCGTTTACCTAACCCGAGTAACATACCCATGTTCGGAAACTTCGGTGTTACTTACTCGATCACTAACTCGGGTTCATGTTTCGCAACCCTGCTCCAAAGCAGGGTCAGCCAGAGTTACTACCTTAGATCATACACTCACTACCACAGAATTACTAACGATTCATGTATTTCTAAGGTCAATTCAGATATTATTTGATTTCATCAATTGAACAAGAAGTGAATTATGTTGAATAGCATTAGTTTGATGATGAAAATACACCAACATCATGAGCAGAAGCAATATTCATCATTTCTAGAACAATAATAACGTGTATCTTTAAAGAGTTCATTGGTATGATTGTGTTTAAAGATGTGGAGAAATTGATCAGAAAATATTGATATCGCATAGCAAACTGAAAAAATTGCATATACGTGAGAAATCAAGAAGTTCTATTCGAAGAGGTATAAAGCTAACTCAATAAAATAGTAACCTGATAAGTTCGTAAACTATAGTATTAGGATAAGTGATCCGACTGATCCATCACGTGACCCGTTTAGATCGAGTCAACAACCCAGAGTAAGTTTCCGAAAACGCCTTATGATACCTGGGATCCGAGGAGGCTATATGATGTGTGCTCCTTGGGTATAAGCATCGAGTCACGGGACACCCTGTATATCTATACCTACATGAATATAGCATATCTCAAAATGGATGGAGGAAACATGAAAATAAGAATGAAATATTTTGTTTCAACCGATTACGAAGTATGATCATTGGGATTTTCCTCTATTGATCTGGAAAACCCGAACAACCGAACAACCGAGAGAATTTCTATGTTATAGTCTCTCCTTGATGAAAAGACGAAGTAGGTACATCAGTAGTGGAAGCAAGAGCAAAAAGTATTTTCGCAGCACTCACGTTAATGGCCCTAGCAAGCTCGTTCAATATTGTGAGTCAAACTATCAAGGACCTGAGAGAAATGCCCTTGTATGAAGGTAGACATTAATTTTGACCCTTCGAATTGAGGTGAAATTGTTTCTAAATACTTGAATAGGGAAAATGTATTGAGAAGGAATATTCTCAGATGAATTATGAACATACAGAAATGGATATATATTTATATTGAGCAATACATTGAGAATTTGTGTTGCTATTTGATAGAATGAAAAGTTCTTTCATCTGTGTCACCGTGTGAGTTCCATGGCACTACTCTTTATTAGAGTTGATTATTTTTCTTCTGTCAATTCTAGAGAAGAACCTGTATCGAAGTTCTATTTGAACGAAGAAGTAAGTGATGCTCAAAGTTATCTTCAACTAATTATTTTGAATTTGACCAGAAATCTAGTTCAATCCGTCTATCAATTGTGAGCTGCAAGAAACTTTGATAAGATTTCTCGGTATCACCCACTCATTCAGTTTGTTGTGCATCTGTTTGATATGTTAGTTCAATTTCGTGTGTCACTCAAGATGATGCCTCCTTCGATGATTTGAATTCCATTTGCTCATGCAAATATTGTAACTCAAATCTGACTACACTGATTCGAACCAAAGAACATGGATTCATATAAAGAATATGACATGACAACCAGCGACCACGATGAATGTGTGAAATGTGGAATGGATTCCTTATATCTGTACGCGTAGTTTATCTCATCAAAAGGAATTGATTGAATAATTGGGGCATTTTGTGTAATAGCAGCCCAAGGCATCTTAAAGATTGCGCACATTCAGGTATATGAATATTACCTGAGATCTTTTGACTCTCGTGTTGATTATCATGTGATGAGAAAGGCCAAATGTGTTTATGTTATTATGGTGAAACATTTCGGAATGTTGGTTGTTTTGGTGGAAAAATGGTGGTAGGCCACTATTGTATAAACAAGTCTCAGAAGTTTTTCTCAAAAGTAGACAGTTTGGCCCTCGAAGACTTTTTTTTATTATAACGGTACGTACCTAATCATTTGTTGTGCTTTTTTTGGCTTCATTGGTTTGTTATATAATCAGCAACACATTCGAATACCATGTCAGTATCGTCGTCGTCGCGGTCTTGCCCAAAATTTTCATTGAATTTTTTGATTTTTATGTAGAAGGTATGTAGAAATGAATATCCTTGATATTGGATTCCATATTCAGAAAAATTAATAGGTTCCCCGAATGATATCTCAACTAATACATTTTATATACCAATTTACTGATGCAGCATTAACAGTTTTGCTTCTGTTCATTACATTTTCCTCCAGAGGTAGGGTACTAATAAAAACTGAATCTTTCACCTAGTCGTCAGGAGGCCATAAACTGTTATACAGGGTGTTTCCAAAAAACCTAACTCCCTTGCTAGGGTAGGTAGAACATTGCAAAATAAGTTGGGTTTGCTCATCAGTAAAAAGATGTCGTGACGCCATCCCTTTCCAAGACACAAGGTGTTAAAACCACTGGCAATATTGTGATGACATTCCGTATGGATGTGTTTTGAAAGCTGACACATCGCATGAATTTGTTTTTATATCTGACACTCATAGAGGGTGCTAGTTACACGGTTCGTACCGAGTGGTTTTGAACATAACTTTTTTGAGGTTAGATTCCTCAATCCAGATTTGATGTGAACTTGGACATCTTCCAATTTCACACCGAAAAGGTACTCTTGGTAAAACTCGATACTGTGTTCCGTTTTCAGAATATTTCGATTCGAAAATGATGAAGTGGTTACTGTTGCTGGTATAAAGTTATGTATTAGAGTGAGTATTATAAAAAATTATCACCTTTTTATAGAAAACCGAAAACAACAATACATTTCTGATGCAAAACTCATTGATTTAACAATGAATCACAAGAATAACATCGAAATAGATTTGACTAAGAACATGGATTACACAGTTTTGTTGTATCTTGAGCAGAAAGTCTATGCTACATAGGTAAATTCACGTCAAGAGTTGTGAGAACTAATTGAACATCACTAAAATGACCTAACAGCTGATCATCAACTGTTCAGAAGAATAATACATCCTTAAGAAAAGAATATAGAATCGTGTTTTCCTCGAAACGTAGGACATTTTGAACACTTACTCTAACTGATTCAATATTTCATGTTTCTAGTCAAATATCTCTTAATTTTTCACTTATGATTCTTTGTTTCATCGACAAATTCAGCGCAAGAATAATTTTATTGTTTTTGAATCTGAATAAATAGGTAATTGAACTCAATATAATTCATTTTATACCAGCATCATTACTACTCCATTATTTTCAAATCGAAATATTCCGAGAACGGAACGTGGTACCGAGTTTCACCAGGAGTAACTTTTTGGTGTGAAATTGAATGATGTTCAAGTTCATATCATATTTGGATTGAGAAATCTAACCTCAAAATAGTTATGTTCAAACGACTCGGCACGAACCGTGTAACTAGCGCCCTCTATGAGAGTCAGATATGAAAATAAATTCATGTGATGTGTCAGATGTCAAGCAACATCCACACAAAATTGCATCTCAATGTAGCCAGTAGTTTCGGAATAATCGTGGAGAATGTGTAAAATAATAATTTTTTCAACACCTTGTATCATGAAAACAGACATTTCTACACTGAGCACGTTCTTTGAAACACCCTGTATAAACTTCCATCCCAAATTCAAAAATGACGAAGCTATCGACGATTTCTCGTTACATTAGGACGACAAAGTTACGACAAGTACAAAAATATATCTTGACTATCCTCGACCAGCAGCATGAAAAATCATCGATAGATCAGTCACTTCTTAATTAAGGATGAGAGATTATGGAACAGTTTTTGTTCAGAATGGAATTTCCCATCGATTGAGAATATTGTATACCGGGTGTCTTCTTGATAAATTGAACTTGTTGACGTTACACGTGAACGCGATGTGAAATTCTTGTTTTGTTTTTCGTTCATCGTAATCCGCGAAAGGAATACTAGACGCTAGTGTGGCCATTCAAGTTGGCAGTAGTGCCGACTCAAGTTTGAACTATACATATTATAAAAATGTTTTCCATTTGTTGCCAACTTTCTCAGGACGTATTTTTAAAAACTCGTCATTTCCAAGTGTTCAAAATTAATTCAACATCTACATCCTATTCCTATCCTCTCTAGGTACACACGATATTCCTCGAACATCATAGGATACTCTTCCGTGCACACAAAGCGATCAAAAATTCTCTAAATAGATACTCACGTTGATGTTCCTGCCGGGTTCATTCTCCACCAGCTGCCTTGCGAGGTCTTTGCAGGACTTCCGGGCTGCAGGAGGCACCTTGGAGTCGTCCTCCCAGTAGCGGGAGGGAGAGTGTCCGTAGAGTGCAGCGGGAGTCGCATGTGTTATGCGCGTGTTTGTCACGATGCCCGTCGCTTTGCCTGTGAAGAATTATATGTGTTATGCGCGTGTAATGCGCCTGTTATACGCGTATCATGTGCGTAATATGCAAGGGTTCGTCACGATGCCCGTCGCTTTGCCTGTGAGAAATTATATGTGTTATGCGCGTTTCATGCACGTGTTAACCAAGTGCCCGTCACAATGCTCATCGCTTTGCCTGTGAACAATTATATGTATTATGCGTGTGTCATTCCAGTGCTATGAGCATGTTATGCGCGTGTTTGTCACGATGGCTGTCGCTTCGTTGTGGCATAAATTGTCATTCACTAGTGGACAGTAGAGGGGTTAAACGGTTCCTGGACCATAGATCAATCAGAGATCAGCATTCACTTTCGCAAAATTCGAATTATTCATGCGACGACACGCCATTGTGACGTCAAATCATCATTGACTGAATGATTATAAAAATAAGAGTGCTGTATCCGGTACCCAATGTATAATATACAAATTTCTATGTGGCTGATTGTTTGATGCATGTGAAAAAAAGTTATGAATTTTTTGTCATTCCTGCTATGTTGGTTTGAATGATTTGTAAGTTAGTTTCGATGTTGAAAAACTTCTGTGCTCATTTTTCCAGCCTCTCGCTAATTGGTTATCCCTTGTTGGAGGAGGTCATATTGAATAAATGAATGAATGAAAAGCTGTCGCGGCCGAGAGATTGATAATGGTATTCAAACAGGATATGAAGACGTTGGAAATTATTATCAATGGAGTCGACACGCTGACGAGCAGAGCGAGATACCTATTCTTGAGATGAAAGCGCACATTCTTTCACAATGCTGGAAATAAAATTTCAAAGAGATATTTTCTATAATAGATTAACCACGATATGGGTGGAACTGGATGATGAGCCTCCCCTGTTAAGAGTCGACGAATTGAACAAACATGTGTGTGTGTGTGCAGCGGTTACAGTATATAAAGTGTACTTTACCGGCCGATTTTGCGGGCGTAAAGTTTTACTTCAGCGCTCGCGCGCCCGTTATGGCACGCCGGAAGTACACTCAATCGACTTCTGTTCCCAAATTCCTTATATTTACATATCAAATCAGTCCTCCATCTGATATGCATATTCTCATATGGTATCTATGATCTTGATCATCTCATGATCAACTCGATGCGGGGCTATAGGTAGATGATTATCCAAATTGAAGATCTCAATGACATGGGTTTTCCTTTTGGAAAGAAGTGGACCTCTCGATACAGGGCAGAAACACGTTACTGTTATCGGAATAATCATAATCTCTACTAAGGTATCAATGCATTTTGCTGATGAAAGGATTATACAGGCATAGACAAAAACGTAGAGCCAAGTGAATATTTCGGAATCAGTCATTAGATTTCTCAAATTTTTGAACAAAATGATCGAAACAAGGCAAATTAGAAAATGTTATCGCCAATGGTGCCACGCTTTCAGTGTTTTTGAAATTCTTGTCGAATTTATTAATTCAAATGACACATACATGATTATGTTTTCATAAAATTTGGAAGGAATATTTTTGGCGAATTTATTCATTGAGGATGGAAAATTTTGGAGTACAGACAGTATACACTGAAATATTGAAATTTAGCCTAACATGCTTGATAAGAATGTTGCTGGTTTAGGAGATACAGTTCAAGGGGAAGATTATAACTGAAAATTTCTCAATAATTGCAACAGCAAGGATATAAAATCTTGTAGTTTCAAGTTTTCTAACGTGACGAAAAGGAATTTGTTACTCATTTTGTGATTGCTCATATAGACACTCTGTTATTTCGGCGAATTACATCATATGTTTTTTGTCCATTCAATGATCATCAAAATAAGTGGAAAATTCTGGAAACTCGTTCGATTTCATATATAAATAGAGCGCTATTTCTAATTGTCTAGCTATAACAACTCTTTGCGTTATTCGCTCTTGATTCGATCAATGTTCCATTTATAACATTTTGATGATTTGACAGTGGAAAAAACACAAAGAAGATGACAATCACCAATAACGACAACAACAAACGGAATTTAGAAGTATTTGTTCGACCGAAGTTGAAGAAACTTTCAAAATTGAATTTTTCCTTGAACACTCTGTATATCACTGGTTATTATTATCTTCAATGACAACAGATATATCTGAAGAAATCAAAGCTGTCAAATTTGTGTATGTGTGTTCTATATCTTCCAAGAGTCCGATATGAATAGTAGTGCTAATATAAAATTTGTCGGTAATTTTGATTATCATGGAAACTTCGTTCGTTACTTATTTTGATAGACCTCTGTTGTTTACAAAAATAAAAATTCCAAGTTATATATAAAAATGATGGCGCTATTGGCGATAACATTTTTGAGCTTGCCATGTTGAGAAATCACCCTGGACGAAAATTCAATGAAATCTAACAAACAGTCACCGAGATATTCATCCGGTTCAAAACTGTTGCCATCACTGTATTTCAGATTCCTCATTTTCTTAGTAGATATGTAGGTATAGATACCAGATACTTGGGTGGCTACTTATCATTCGGTCAAATTTTTCTTAGAATTGAATTATATAATATCATCAAAGTCACAATAGCACAGTCCAAACAATATTAACCTCATTTCATTACAAAACCTGAAGTAAATACCTGCATAAATATCAAAGTAAAATTATATAAAGAGGCATGTGAAATACGTCATCAACTAATTCGATCATCTCCTCCTCCAGGTAAGCACTAATAAAACGAACAAAATAACACCATGACTAGTGTCTCTCCTCTTCAAACAAAATTGGTACTTTTTGAGATATGAAAATCCATTCCAACAGATTTGCACATGTTACCTTTCATTCAGGAAACATTTTTATCACTTTCGTTACAAAGAGGCGAAATTGACGGCACTCTGACACTCAAAACACTTTATGAATCGACTCCCAACACTTAACACTCAACGTACTAATGAGTGCGCATTTGTCGAGCTTTTGACTAGGTGTATGTGACAGTATCCGAACTGACTAAAAATAGGAAATGAATTTCGCAGAGCCTTTCGCGTATCTGGAACGATCATGGTGAAAATGTATCACTGAAACTTGTTCATGTATGAAAGATAATAAGTTTACCAATATGTTACGTTTCTATAATTACAATTGACCTTTCCATATACAGAGGTTTCGTGCAGTAATGGATGCCAGTGCATCTGCAGAAAATAAACAATCTACATAAATTCAAAGAAACGCTAAAAATGTACCTCACTGAAAATTCTTCCACAATCAATGATAGAATATGTACAATATGGCAAAATATAATTGTCAATCACACAGATTCTGTGATTATTTCTTTCTCCGTCCTCTACTCATTCCATTGACCACAATTCTGTTGTAAAATACTGTATGAAATGCATATAGGGATTGGGCACAATACAAGCATATACATATGCTCAGGTGTAATCATCGTATTTTGAACGATTTCAATATTGATAATCTATAATACGATGATTTTCTTGTTCGTATGGAATGATTTGAATCGAAATTGAATTAAATTGAATTGAATATTAGTTAATTAATTTTCAGCCGTATTATCAATTTATGACGAATGTCCTCGAGCGGGTCGATTTTTAATCTCAATTCTGAACATAGAGATTTCGGAATCTTCATTCGGAAAGTTGGATTGTGAAATATATCACTTAGAGGGTTTGTATGCAGTTCGTTGAATTCTGAATTCTCATGAAAATGAGTTTGCCATTGAAAAAATGCCGCTGACGTCAATTATCTTGCACGAATCTTTCTGAATGTATCAAGTAATTGAATTTGAATGTAAGAATCGACGTTTAGCTTTCTCTCAGAACTTATTCCTTTACTTTTGTTACGAATCTATCCGCTACTTCAGGATAGCACTTAATTTCTCGGACGCACTGAATACAAACCTTATATGCGTGATTTATTCTTGGAATCACCATTTTATGGAGATTTATGGAATCAGATTCTCCAAACGATGATTTTTTCTTTCAATACACATATACAAAGAATTTCTCGATGCAATGCGGATCAGCATTGATTCAACTATATGGCGTTCTTGGATAGATCCAACCAAATATTTGTTTTATTTCTCCATGGAACTTTCTTGACTTATCGATAAAAGGAAACCTTGATCCGAATGAATATCTATTTATCATTACAGTACGTATTGGTCGAAGAAAGATTCAATTTGTTTGAAACGAGAAAAATCTTCTATTGTCAAGTTAATCTCTCATCATAGTTTAAAAAATGCATTCTTGTACAAAAAAATTTCTAGCTTGTCACACAGATATAATGTCTCATGTGCCAAGAGAATATCATACCGGAGGAAATGAAAATACAGATGGTCTAACCATGAAAGGAATAAAATAAACTATGACACTTGGTAAACGAAAGTCTTTATTATCAGAACTTGATCATCCTATTATAGCATAACAAAAATAAAAACATGTTTAATAATAATGGAAACATAAAAACATAATAGTCTGTAGCTCAATCTAGGAGGCGGAACTTTAATTTTCCTAGATTTTTATGATTTGAGGACCTCGTCTTCTTCGCCAGGATGTCACTGTGCTTGAATGTTGAACACCGAAAACCAAGAGAAAAGAGTTAAATCAACATTTCAAATATGTTTTGCGTATTCTGCAAAGTGGCTCGATAAATGGAAATCATCAATCGTATACATATATAGAACTTGCTTCAGAAGAAACACTATTTTCATTCTACACATCCAGGCATTGTCGAGAACAAACGAAATTCAAGACCATCGGATATTTTCTGAACTAGGAAAAACAGACGCCAGTTGGGCAACCAGCCACTCCCATTTCACTTGAAATGAGATTTTGTTTTAGAGTAGTTCTTTCCTTGCCGAGTGGCGTTCGGCATTCGCGTTTCATTTCGCGGACATTGAACGCCTTGTGAGGTATAAATGTTGAGAGTTGAGATGCGTTTTTGTTGGGTCAGTTTCGCACAAACTCAAGAAGCTATTTGGAACAGCCCTGTATTGATGAGAGCCAACAGCTCGAAGAAAACACTTGCGATTACATTCGCCTATGCGAATTATTGCATAGATTTCGGGAAGATTTAATCCATTGTTCAGCGTGGCATATAGCCAGGAAAGTAGTTTTCTCTCGTTATCTACCATTTTCGTTCATTTCATGTACTTCGATGTGGTGAGATCTCTATTTGTGAGATATTTTCTGGTGACAAGAGATCATCGTCTGACAAAAGAGCCTATATAACGTGGAAACAAGAAGAAAGGAGACGAACTTCCATTGGTTCAATCATTCTAATCAAGAAACGAGTGGAAATATACAGAGAATGGACAATCACCTACCTATACCTATCAGGGCGTTTGTCGAATGAATGCGACTGGTCGAATCGTCACTGCTGAACGAATGTGTTGTGCAGGTTATATAAACATGGCCATATGCGTTGAAAGTGATGTGTGGTTATGTGAAAAATGTAGAAATCTTTATTGAAATAGAAAACCAAATATACGTATATGTCTATAATTATTAATATTAATGGTTTTAGGTATGGTTGATATCAAGGTTCTTAGCAAGTTTCCGATGAAATAAGGAAAGAAAACACATCAGTATGACTATGTTACGAATATATACAAAGTTCAGAGTTCATTCCTGTTCGAAATTAATTCCTATACATACATGTATATTCAACTTATCCTCGCATACTGTCCTGGGGAATGCCACACGGCTGTGAAGATGATACCACACCATTAGAATAAACATGACTCAGCATACTCGATTCTTGAACACTTCACCATTGAAAAAGGAAAATGTGTTATGCACCGTCTTCAGAAGAAACAATTGCGGCTATGGTGAATGGCGGCTGACGACTGACTAGTCGAATGGGCGCAGGCATTCAGTGGTCTCCCACCGCTGTGTATATGTCACTGTTAGCCTTTTAGACATGCAGAGAGTTTTTTGAACCAATATGAATTGGAATGTATGTCACTGCGGTAGTAGTGGTTTCCATGAATGAAGAGATATACTGTTTATGTTGAGCAGATTCATATCAAGAAATTTCAAGAAACGAAGAAAGCAAGCCAATTGAATTGAAACAAGTGTATATTGCTCCAATCAAATGAAAAAGTTCTTGCACGAAGGAATTGAATTACAAGAAAATTCATTCATTCGATTGAAGACATCCTTTTTATTTGTGTATGTATTCCTACAACTTTGAACATCGTCATTCGAAATTACTTTCATCAGTTTTATTCTGCTAACAAGCTTGTATAGCAAATATTTGTCGAATTCGAAATCAATTAAAATTGTTTGCGAGAGTATGATGTACTAAACGGCTGGATTAACAAGTTATTATTTTTCAATTCCAGTGTGATTTATCGGAATCAAAGTAATTTATTATGGAATATGGAATACAACTGACAGTTTTGATTTCATCGATTCTACATGACCGTTATTAACGAGAATCTGTGTACAGCATGTTGCAATTGCCTAGGACTTCTACAAATCTCTTTCTGATTATTACGAGGATTATTATGACGTATATAACTTCGAAATCTTGAATGCTCCATCTGCGAACCCTGGCGATCTTGAAATATGCTCTCAATATATTATTGAATGGTAATAAAAGAATGACCCTCCATTATGTTCTATTCAATAACACTATCCTCACGACTCTCACAGTCAGAGGTCATAAAAGACCTGAATAATTTCAACAAAAATACCATAAGACACGAAAACATGAATGCTTTATGACCAACCGTAATAAACTTTTTCTCATGAGATATTCAGTAACATCTGCATTCCGTTTATCGTCGACAGATCATCAAATACAACATCTACGATCCACCTGAACATAAATAACAATTCTTTTACTATGCTTTAACATAACATCAGATGGGTAATGAAATTCTAACCTGAATGAACAATTCTTGTCAACTCGGTCGTTAACTGATGGAAATACATAGTCTATCAATATTATCGAAAATAAGTTTATTGAAATCATGAAATCACATACATATATCTGATAAGATTGTCCGCCGACTTTACTTTGTTTGATCCCGGAACCATGTTTGGTCACAGCGCCACCACAATATACTGGTGTTGAAAATGTGAAATCTTGTACCCATATCGATTTCGAATTACTACTATGGGCAAGAATGGATAATGTAATATTTTCGATATTGAATCAAAAACATTTAATATTCCTTGATCCAACGATTCATTAGGAATATGTAACAAATTTGATGCATTCTTTTCAATTTGTGAATGATATTATAGTCATGACTTCCGATCACGAAGGAATTGATGGATATTATGTTTGTAGTTAAAAAATGATAGTGTAGTTGATATACATGATCAATTACTTCCTATTCCATATTTTTTTCCAGTGAAACACTGAAATTTGAAATATCTTCTCCTTATTTTTTATATAGATAGAAAGATAGATAGATAGATTTTTTGGTGTTAATATATATTTAAGTACTTACACAAGTCATGAAAAGGTCAATACACTCATACATGGACAATATACGGATATATAAGAGTATCGAAATCATGTAGAACATGTTGAAATAATTAAAAAAAAATCCTGGGTCTTGTTCACTTGATCAGTTCTATTTTGATAATACCAAATCATTGAAATTTACATTTTTGAGTTCATCTGGGAGTACATTGTACATTTTGGGGCCAAATTAACTAGTACCGTCTCTGGTCTTTTCAAGGAGATGATATTTAGGTAACAATTCACCTCTGTTACGTGTGTCGTAGCCGTAGGAATCTGTAGCTGTACTACATGCATCAAAATTTATTTTTACATAGACAACACATTCGAGGATATAGGCACAAGGAGCTGTGAGTATACCCAATTCTTTGAATTTTGACTTACAACAGTGTCTGTGGCCGTTTTACCGTACTAGTGCTGTGAAGTGTTTTATTACGAAACTGAAGGCAGTGTCTTAATGTTTCACATAACATATTGGTAGTAGGTGAATATCTATCAATGTTTGACACATAAAATTCGTGAAGTTTATGATATATGCAGCTGCACATTGAGCAAAAAACAAAAAAAATAAATCGCCTATCTCTAGAAATTGACCCATCAAAATATTGTCATAACACTCGAATTACCTGATTCTTGTGCCCAATCTATGAGGGATGTCACCCTTGATGAAAAACTGGAAAAACAGTTCTCAAACCTCCCACGTGCATCCAGTCCGACTGTCTCGAAATTCGTTTTGACGCCGCACATAAGGGCAGTTGCACAGGCTGATGATTCACCGATTTGAGCATCCATATTGTAAGTCTGAGAAAAGAAGTTGTAGATGAATCAAAGACTCGAATGAAGTGAAGAAATAACAATGTATCATGATTGTAGAGTATAAGTGACAGATATTTTATGTGAATATTGAGTGGATATAGTGTGAATATAACGTCAATATTACGTCAACATCGAGTGAATGTCACGTAAATATTAGGTTGATATCACGTAAATAGGACGTCAATAATACATTGATATTACATAAATATTACGTAGATGTAACGTAGTTATTACGTGAATATAACGTAAATATTATATTGTTATTACGGAAACCTTACTTTGGCAAGAGCGACGGCCGGAAATGCATCCCACGCCAGCTCGTGGTCCTCACCCTTCTTCCCGAGCCGCTGCCCTCTCAGGATACGGGCGGCGGTCGACGTCGCCACCCCCATGCCGTCTCCCACGAACAGGATAACGTTCTTGGCGTACGGCCGCCGGTCGTTGGCGTACTGCAGACGTTTCCTGAGGGCTATTCTGGCTTGTTCGTACCAGTATTCCTGATCTGGAAAGAATTATGTTGATTGTGAGATATTGGATCTCTTTTCTTTTCTATTATACAACAAGAAACGATATTGACGTTCATTGCTCACAGCTCTCTTGCCACAAATAAGTTATAGAAAAACGTTCTGATATAATTTCCTATCAGTTCAGATGACAAACAGACATCGAAGAATTGAGAGATCAATTATCTTGTTTCTTTCTTTATTCCCAAGAAACTCAGACAAGCCTTAGGCTTCTCTGTAGGGGCTATCCTGACTTGTTTTCACCAGAATAATTCCTAATCTGAAGGAATGATAATAAATATGAATTGACTCGGCCATTACTTGATGGAAATCCATGACAAATGTAAAAACTTCACAAAAGGTGAGATTTTCACAAAATTAACAGGTGATATACTGGTACAATGAACTAGTTCATCACCTGACGAAGCTACTGTGTTAGCAAAACATGTCGTCTGTTTGAGAATCACGTGGAGATATTATCGTTTCTGGAGTTTTCACAGAATGATTCTCATTGATAAATATTGGATCTTTCTCTCCTGTCATACAAACAAAACGGTATTGACGTTCAATGCTAACAGATCTTTTGCCACGATCAAGCTGAAGAAATATATTCTGAGACGATCTCTCATCAGTTCAAATGAAGATCTGATAGTGTATAATGAAGAGAAATTGATTACATCGGTTTTTCTCTCCTTGTCAAGAAAATCGGAGACATGCCTCAGCCTATACTTTGGAGGCATTGATCGTATTTCAGGAAATGAACATCTGAACTGATGTGTATCCAAACAAAACTAAGTGGAAAGCAGGTCACGGAAAAGCAGACAAACTTGCCAAGACAGGTTCGAAGTCAGATGCAAGTCATACTCTGGGAGTGCCAGAACGCAAAATACAATACACCTTGTGACAAACAAAAAACTGTGGCCCTGCTATTCCTCAGCAGGGGGCTATTGGAAGTCATGAGAGGGCTACTGACTGGCTACTTGCTCACACCATATGAAGAACTCGAACATGGAACATTTCCAATGGAGTGGGTTCAGAAAATAAAGCTCATCAAATATCTGGGGAGCTCGGGAATCATTGATGAAAGAGATAAATTCACTTGCCTTCTTCACTCATATATGGCAAGAAAAACAGGAAAATTCTAGCTGTGGCGTTGGATATATCGAAGGCATTCGACCGTATTTGTCACCAAGGACCTCTACACAAACTACCATCATACGACCTACCCCCTCGACTATGCCATTTTTTATCGACTTTTCTTTCAGGTAGATTGCTCAATGGTAGTGGATGGAGTATTTTCTGATGCTATTGCTATCAAGTCTGGTGTTTCACGAGGATCAATCTAGGCACCGATATTGATTCTACCTCATATCAATGAACTGTTTGGGGCAACCATTTGCCCTAACCACACCTTTTCAGACTATAGTACTCTCCTTGCTTTGCTCTCTTCTTCAATTCCTATTTCTTCTCAAGAAACTAGAAACACAAGACGAAAGCAGGTCACCGCTGTCGATGACGACCTTGCTAAAATTAGAGCCTGTGGAACCAACAACCTAGTTGTTTTCAATGCAACCAAAACTCAACTCGTTCGTATATCGAACGGCGGAGCATTGGAATCCTTTGACAATAGATAGAATCGCAAGAAACTATAACCTCCTTTCGTGTTCTTGATGGAAAGAGATGGAAAAACTCAGTATGCCTGATATAACAATGTCTGGCACCACGATCCTCACCAAGAGCACTTCATTCATATCTCGGTATTTTCATCAGCAATATCCTTTCGTAATGGGAGAATCATGTCCGATCCATCGCGAAAGCTGCTTCACATAAACTCGGTTTTTAATTCTGTGCGAAAATCTACTTCACACATTCTCATGATCTACAAAACACAGATACAGCCAGTGTTAGGATACTCTTCTCACATATAGGGTTCAGCACTCAAACATACGCTGATGCATTTAAATTCCAACCAGAGATCAGCCATTTGCCTTGTGGGTGATGCCACACTCACTCCTCCTTTGGTCTCATTACAACAACGTTGAAAAGGCGGCGATTTTTCACTTCTTTATCGTTTTTCGAGAAATGTTCCTCAGAAACACCTTGTATCATTTCATCAGTGGCAATACGGACAAACTCAACACGCCCAGTCCAAATCGTATTCATAGATGGGATATTAATAATAAATATGGTGTTTGCTTTGATGCGCTTTCTTTTTGCCCGAAAATCGTAATATTAGGTTCTTGGTACATCTCATTCTGATAGATATCGCTGTACAAATGCTCTCTGGAAATAGGAACTCAATTATCAAAACTTCATCGAATACTATCGAAAATGGATCACAGCATTTCTGCATTCATTTGTCGTGATTGTTGTTATTTTTGTCCGATGGCCTCAAAAAATCAGCGCCTCTTACGGTGTCTCTATTAACAAGAACTTCATGAGTATTTATTCAACCTCATAAGTGTCGTCAGTCGCATCGCAACCAGCATTTATTAGGAACGTTATTTTCTCATGAACATCTATAGAATTTGAATTTGAATTTTTTGCCAATGAAAGTAATCCCAACAATTATTTATTGCCAATGAAAGTAATCACAAGAACTTATAAACTCCAAAAAGTGAGAAAATAAATCCCAACTCCTCAATTCCTTCTCCTATCCTCTCTAGGTACGTACGATGTTCTTCGAATATTATAGAAATTTTGTCTCGTGCGCTCAAAGAGATGAATATTTTTTTGCGAAACTAACAACCAAACCAACATATACCATATCTATCTTGATACAGTATCCCAATGGCTGAGTGAAACAAAACTTGTGCGAAGCCTCAGAGTGTGGGTGTTCGTTTCCGCATTTTCATTGAAGAGGACTATGAAAAAACCAATCTACTGAGGTATTTTAAAACGACATTTTTGAAAATGAAAGTTCGAGAATTCAATTCCCGAACATTGAAATTGCACTGAGAATTTATTTGGTTTTGATAACATCGAATTGCACTGGGGAAGGCTCATTTTCAAAAATAGGAAAAAGGAGGCTTTTAACTTCGATGGGATAAAACTTTCTTTCAGATAATTCTTGTTCTTGACAATATTCCCACTAGGTATTAGTTGAGTACGCGTAAAAATTACAGGAGCATGTTGCTGACGTCAGAATGAGAAGAAGAGTTCGTACAAACATATGTCCGCAAGTTATACATTCTGAGATACAGAGTGTCAAATTTTGATTGTTATTTCGATTTTTTGTGAATGGATAGTGATAATAAAAAAATCGTGATATTCGGATAAGATACCGAATTTCACTCTAATATCACGTTCATTTCTGAATCTACTAACAGAAAACAGAAAAAAAGTATCAAACTTCAACACTTTGTATCTCAGAAATGAACAACTTGAGGACACGAACTTTCATTCTCATTTTGACGTCAGCAACATGCTCCTGTGATTTTAACGCGTACTTAAAAAAATAGTAGGAATATTGTCAAAAACAAGAATTATCTGAAAGAAGGTTCCGTCCCATCGAAGTTCGAAGCCTATTTTTTATTTTGTCATTTTTGAAAATGAGCGTTCTCCAGTGCAATTCGATGTTATCAAAACCAAATACATTCACATTCCAATTTCAGTGTTCGGAACTTCCATCTTCAAGAATGTCGTATTGAAATACCTCAGTAGATTGTTTTTTCCATAGTGCTCTGTAATGAAAACGCGGAAACGAACACCCACTCATCCATTGGAATACAAGATGGGTAGTAAATGTCAACAACTGCTTATCACGGCCATTTTGACAAACTGATATTTCCGATTACAGTGAACAAATATAATTGAATTATATTTCCATAATTAAGAATCATATTTTCATGTTTCTACAAAGTTCTAAGGGTGAAACAACGAACTTGACTTTTTCATGATAAATATTGAAGAGAAAGTTTTCTACTATACAGGGTGTTCCTAAATGATATGCTAATAATCAAGGGGCCGATTCTCCGACCCATTTCAAGAATAAAATTTTATATGAACATATGTCGGAAACGTCCTTTCTTTTGGGATACAGTGTGTCAATGTTGAAAATATGCATAGATTATTTTTTTGTCCACCTTGTATAGCTTTTCGTGATAGCGAAATTCAGTCTGCTATGTGACTGAATCGGTATATAAATTCCAAAATGTTACATACCATGGTTATCCAGTAATGGATGTCCTGAATGAAGTACTCAACCCTTTGAGTCCAGAATTAGTGTTTTCAGAGATTTTATTATCTGAAAATATATTATGTGACCAGAAACATCATAAAAACAATGAGGAATATAGGAAAAAATCTGAATCGTCCATTCTTTTTCAAAAAAAGTGGTTGTCCCAAGTGACCAGGAGGTTGCCGCAAGTGACCAGTAGAACTACGAATACTCATCAGATGCCAAAAGCTACTGACGTCATCGTTAGTAAGTTGAAACAATGCCGCAGTTATAAAATCAGTTCATAGGTGGCTGTATTAGTATCGTGTATGAACGGTGGTTATGCTACAGAACCACTAGTAGAGCGCCGATGAATTATTTGTTATGTGGTTATCTGGCATGACCAGTAGGACGCAAAGGGTTAAAACATCAAAATTTGAAGTCTGGTCTCGTTTTGCCGTTTTTTCTCGAAAACGAAGCGTTCTATCGAGTATCAGCAAGAGGATCTTTTCTTTACATAATCAAATAGCCCTATATAGTATCTTATGAAATTTGGAAATTCCTTGTCGTTGCTCACTTTTAGGTGGAATATAAACAATAATTTTCTCGTAACGGTGCCACTGGTATGAAAATTTGCGTACATCGGAAAATGCACCTTGATGCATGAAAGATTTGTACCAAATTTCATACGGATGTATAAAATATTGTCCTAGTTATCATCAAAAAACTGAATATTTTTCAAAACTTCATCACCTTGTTTCTCAAAAGTTGAGGCTTTTAGGATATACGTTTATAGAAAGTTCTTTTTTTAAATGAGTCTGAGAATCACCCCCTCAAATATAAGCATGTCTTCAAGGAACACCCTGTATAGTTAAGGGGAAGGGTTAACCTTCGGAAGTCGAGAAA